CTCTGTAGGTTTTCTCAATCAAATCAATGCAAAGATATTATGTGGAATATTCAGGTTTGGAAAAGGAAAATGGAAAAAGAAAAATATGCAATGCAAAGAGAAAAGAACAAGTGTGGAGAGAAGTCAAATCAATCAACTATCGAAGGAAGAAACTGAAAAAGATCCACCAGAAGTCAGGAACACTGCTTAGAAAAAGCTAACGTGTGCCACTGTATGCATGTGTTCAGACAAACTGCTTCTACACCGGCGTAATGTAACATAAGCACATTAAGTCAAGTACCGTACTTCCACATGATACCACTGTCACGCCTGTGCTGTAAATAAGAAGCTACAGCCAGAAGCCAGTTAGTTCAGCGTAGCACAAAGACTGGAAATGGGAAAGATTCAAATTCAGAAAACTACCAAATAATATAAAACAAAATGTTAAAATTAGCTTCTTCTTTACCGACTACAAAAGTAAGATGCTACTTATGTAACTTGGGGATAAAAATTAACACGCAGAGGGACCATGAGTACTTTTATTCTTGGCACTTTAAATATATCTTGCCCATTATACTTGTGGCATTGCTATTTTTACTCAAGTAAGGATTTGAATACTTCTTCCACCACTGTGCCCTAATCCCTCAGCGTCCCTGCTTGACATAAAGGCCTGCAGGTATCCAAGCCGAAGCAATAAACATCATAATAATCACAGAATCCATCACATGGCACATTTATACACATGGCTGTCTGAGAGGACGATGAAAGGGAGGAAAGCTTGAAAGACTAAAATACAAAAAAAAAAGAAAAACATTGTGGGAGTAAAATACAGATTGTGCAGGTAGACAAAAAATAGGTGAGGTAGAAAGAGAGAAAATATAAGGTGGGAGAAAAATGGAGGTGAAGGCAGCTCAGTGCTGGAGTTTTTCTGGGGCCCCCGAGATCTTCTACCTAATAAATCCTCAGCACATATTTAATCCAGTCAGAGGGACATGCTCGGCGAGAGTTAAAGGATGCACGCTTATTACTCACCTATCCACCTCTGAATGTGCTGCCGTTCCCCAAACCCCCACCTCCCAAACTCTACTCCCACAGCCTGTCCTCCATCCAGACTGCAGGCGCTACAGGCTATCAGAGAATCGAAGCAGGAATGTGACTCCTGACAGACACATCTCTCAGGACCACAGACTGAATATGTTCCCAATTAGCTCCATCTGATAAAGTGTGAGTGCAAGTGAAACCCAAGGCGGGCATGATCAATAGCACTTGACTCATTTTGTCAGATGGGTTTGACATTGACAGGCCGCACCATGATTAATCGCAGTGGTGCTGCAGATAATTGTCCGACCACATCTTCCTTTGTAGGTGTCGTTGAACTCTCACTGTCATGTCTGTACTGCTTTGAATATGGTTCGTCACATTCAGTTCAGTTATAATTCATCTTTTCTTGAACTGGCATCTGTACAAAAAAACTGTTTTTCCTTAATCTGCCTGTCAGTTATTTCACACATGCACACTTAGACACACACACACACACACACACATACACACACACACACACACACACACACACACACACACACACAACTTATGGATTACCCCAAGATGCATCTACCTGGACCAGAACTGCCATCTGCTGTTCACGCTGCACACTGCATCAGAGTGAGGTTGCTGTGTGGTGGTTGTTTCAGTGGGGCGAGCTGTTTGATAAAAACAAGCTGCAGCCCGTTGCGGTTTCATCCTCAGAAAGTCTCCTTGGTTTCCATGCACACAGCTGGATGTTTTTACCCATTCGGGACTGCTGTGACATGGGCACTGGAGATGAAACAGGCCTCCCTCGGCACACAAACACAGCACTACACTCCCGGCCTTGTGTACAGCTGGTAGGGATGACACAAGAGGCACAGGGCTTTATTGAGTCCTTCTGAGGCTGCTGTGGAAGTCAGGGCAGTGCTCTGGTAAAGCTCAGCCTGCAAGGCAACAGAGGAGAGCGGGCCGATGGAACACAGGCCGCTTGGCCGATGCTGAGGTCTCTGTAGGCCGGTGTGCTGTGTGTGAATGTCGTGAGATGAGACCTGGCCTCCTCTCAGCTCCTGTCCCATTAAACTCGGTGAACTCTCTGTAGCAAGGGAGCAGCAGCTAAAGGGAAGGAAACACCTTCCTTTAACCCTAAAGTTCTGTTGGGGTCCTGGAGACCCTGCACCATCTTAAATGGCTCAAAAAATACACTTAACATTGTTTTGTCAGCTTAATGTTTCATGACTTTACTTAATCGTATGAGACTTACTGAACATGATTATCATGATTTTGATGACAAACATGATTTTGGACTGATGACATGTTTCAGAAGTCTTTTTCTTTACTTCTGTTTGAGGTCTCAGAGACCACAACTGTAAACAAGAGTCTACAGCCATGCTATTGGATCTGTGAGGCTGTAGTTAGGCACAGTGGTGCTTTCAGCTAAATGCTAACATATCTCAGTTTGGCATGTTATCATGCGCCAAGAACAGCTCAGGCTGATGGGAAAGTAAGCAGCTGTAATACAGGTATTTGGTCGTAAACCAAAGCATTGGATTCATTCATTTAACCTGATGATGGTGTTATATGAAAAGTTAAGAGTTCACCAAACTTATTACAATTCATCCCAAGGGGAGAGAAATGTCTGTACCAAGTTTAATGGCAATCTATGCATATCATCCAAAGACGTCAACCTGTTACGCCGTGGTGTCAGGGGGTCACCAAAGTCAACATTCATCCTGTGGGCTTTATGGATGCCTGTTCAAAAAATTAATCTCAATCTATCTAGTAATTGTTGAGGTATTTCAGTCTGGACCAGTGGTGGAGCGACTGACCAACACACCGACATTGGCATCCCTAGAGCTTTGCCGCTAGCGTTGCTAAAAGACTTAGATACAAGTTCATCTGGATATCTGTTATTGTAGTTTTATAACTACTAGTTATTTTAATTAGCTGACCTCAAACATAAGGTCATATAGAGTTTACACGTTCCTTTGTCAGCAATTGACATTTTGGGAAAGACGATGAATATTTGCTCATGTACAGCCCAAGATCTCCTTATTCAGAGCATAGACGCTGTTTTCAGGTCATTTCAGGTCGTTTCCAGTCAGAAGAAAAGAAAAGGACATCTGAATGGAAAAAAATGGTTGATTTTGCAATTACTATTACTACTTTTACACACACAAGGGTTAACTGTCACCACTGAGCAGCTGCCAAATTCTATTCGTTTATGCAGTTGACATGCTATTTATCCAACATATATTATGCCTGGTGTTCAATATGGAGCTGATTTGTTGTTGAGACCACCGCGTAGTAGATTTTTTTTCTATGCAGTCATTCCTCAAGCATTGCTTAATGCCACACTGATGATTCTCCAGTCTGCAGACCTCCAAATGAGCACAGGCCCAAGTATCCCTCTGTGAGCCTATACAGTGTATTCCCATCTCTATTGTGGGAAAACTCATTTCAGCAGCTCTTTCAGCACGAGCGTCATCTCAGCCTGGGTGGGTTTTTAACTCTGTCTGTTCCTTCATTCCTCCCTCGTCTATGAATAAACTACTGTCAGAGCCAGCTAAAGACATCGTCCTGGTGCTTCTGTGCTCTGCCTTCTCTCTTTACCCTCTTCTTCGCTTTTCTTCCTCCTCTGTCTTTGTTGCAAATTGTTTCCCGATCACATTCTTCAACCACTTAGGGCTTCTTCTCTCATCTGCTTATACGTTGTGTTCAGGCGCCTTCATGCCTCAGAAGCAAGAGCATGGATTCAACTACTGATGCCTGTAAAGATAACTGGGGATGGCAGAAGATTGTGGGATGGCACTGGAGCAGCACACCTCCAGTCCAGACAGTGAATGTTACAGCTCAAAATATCATGACTTCATTAACATCAATTTCTTTAGTTTCTCTCTCTAGGATTTCATTTGTGCGTTTTGTTCTGCTAGAAGAGTTTATCATGAGAAAAAGCTGCGTCTCGTAATTGATTTTCAATGATCAGTGTCTTATCCAGCCAGCCGTGCTTATGTTTATGTGGCCTGGCAGAGGACCTGATACCTGACTGAGCTCTCGTTCAATGGAGAGCTGAAATTTATAAATCTTTCAGTGACCTCTTGTGGCTAAAACCGGCAAAAAGAAAAGGGACTATATTTAACAAACTGCCGACTGTGAGCACATCCATTGGTCATGAGGAGGGATACGTTAGCCTAAGCTATGTGTAGAGCTCAGACTGAAGGTCGGTTTAGCCTCGATTTGAACATTTGAATTAATGTTTGACCCCATTTTTACTTTTGCATTTATCAGGGGCTTCACAATACAATTGCTGGATGGATTTAGTATGCATGCTGACAAATTTGAACATAATTACCCTCGTCATTATTCCAGTATGAATACACTACATATTAAAAAAACTTAGAATTAGTGTTTAGTATGGAATTGGGAAACAGCTTATGCTTTTAATTCTACTCAGAGCATACTTGTGACTAATCATGTGATCGCTTGAGAACTGTCTTTAAAGGGTGCTCCTACACTTTGATGTGAGAGTAAGTGAATGTGTCTTATTGTTCACACTCAGTGAAGAACTTTTACCCCTAGTTTGGTATTCTCTTTCTTTCTTTCTTTCTTTGTCTTAAAACTGATAAACAAGGGCCCTATAAAACAGAAAATACCATCATGTGAAGAAGCCTTGTTAATCTGTCAATTACACTCCCAAATTATTTTTCTAGATACTCTCAAAAGCGTTTTATGTAAATGCCCCTTTCGTTTCTTTGTGACTCCCAGGAAGACACTCACACCAAAAAAAATGATCAGTGTTTTTCTAAATTGTAATTCATTTAATAAACTGACAAGTTAATATCTAAAAAGTCTTGGTTGCATGTCCAGAGAGTTACAATTACAAAAGAGACACTGGTCACATGTCCAAAGTCAATAAAATTAGTATTGCATTGGTTCCCTCGATCTCTAGAGGACGGCACCAGTTCAACCTGGCAATAAAGTACAATCATTCTGATCAGGACTTTTCAAAAATGGTCATTTTATTCCATTTATAATGTGAAAATCTAGTAACGCTTTATTTTACAGGTCTATAATTTACTAATAAAGTCTCACTGATTTTCTTGGCAAGTTTCCTGGAGGAAAGTATGTAGTTTTGTACTATAATATAGAATGTAGAGACAGTGTTGAATCGGTACACTTCAGTCAGTGCAGCACGTTAGCTGAACATGCAAACAATTCAACAGAATTAAGCTTCCAATAATCAATTCATATACCAGGTTTAAATGAAGCAGTTTCTTTAACAACATTCATATTTTACCAATAATTAGAAACTAATTGATTAATTCTAAGGAAATAACTGATCCATAAAATAAAACGTTACTGAAATTCTTATGAATGTTTCTGGCAAGACTGAGGTGATGAAACAGTGTTTGACTACAAGAAACTTCACAAAGATTTAGCTTTTGTTCATTTGCTGAAACTCTTCACTTCCAGTGTTTATAACAAACAACTATTATTGCATGTTTAAGTATTTTCAGTATTTAAGTATTTTTTGCATGTAAGGATGAAGCTTTAGAAGACAAACTGTTATTGCTGGTGCAGTCTTCATTAGTCTCCAGCAGGGAGCAACGCAGAGACGTAGCCTCCCCTCTCTGTGTTAAAACGATTCCATATGAATGTCAGATGCATGATAAAGCCTGCACAGGCCACAAAAAGTTTATTCATCAGTGGTTCATTCCCTTTAAAGCCAGTGGGAAAAGGCGAAGTATCGTGTTGAGCAAGACATTCTCCTAAACCATGTTATTGTTGAGTTTGGTCCACTCAAAAATGTCCTGCTCGCACACAATGTCTGAGTTGATGAGCAGGTAGCGGTCACCCACACAGAAGTGCTTCTGGCAGGCAGCGCACTTGAAGCACTCCAGATGGTAAACCTTGTCCCGCACACGCATCGTCATCTCAAACGCTCGGATCCTCTTCTCGCAGGAGGCGCAGAGACCATCCTGACCAAAGAGCCTGAGTGAAAGATGAGTCACCATGTTACTCCAACAAAACATTAAAACAGTCACTCACCCTTAACAACATGAATCTGTGATTAGATTTTCCAGGTTCACATTAAAATACTGAAATTCAGTAAAAGAAGGACCTCTGGGCCCCAGATGGTAATCCGGTGTTGCCCTGATTCAAGTAAAATGTGCTCCACAAATCAAATGATGGCATCACTTGTTCTCCTGAATCTCCACAACTCATCTGCCTCTTCACCTTCATACTCATTAATAACTGAAAATGTACAGCAAGAAGGAAAAACTCTAGATAGAGGGCTAAACTGTCACTCACTTGTTCACCAGTAATCAACAATCCAACATGTGAAAAAGTGCACTGTGTTAAAAAAAAAATATGTAAGACTCTTTCCAACACTTGGTTGCAGGATAAGGCGGCAATATTCCACATTTTATGTTAATGTCAACAAATCAATAAACAAAACCAAAGACCGAATCCTAGAACACGTTAGTCCGTCTATCAATGCTTCCCAACTTTTCTACCCTGTCTGCGGCACTCAGTCTGTTCATTCACACTGAAGAAAGGTCAGTTTTTTAAAGTAAATGGTGCATTTTTGGGGGACTATTTTCAGCTGCGGATTAACACACATCTCATGCTCGAGTATGCTTTTCTGGCAGCAGGACAGTGTACATATGGTAGATGTGACTCAGAATAAACTACAGTGCCCCTATGTTCATCACAATGACTGTCACCCTGTGCAACAATGCGGATCACTGATGTGTTTTTAATAGTATATCACTGGGCTTATAACACTTTACTGTTAACCAGTGTGAGTAAACAAATCCACAATTTGCTGAATAAAATCATGACGTTACAACATTACACCACCAGACCAACCTGAGGTAGTCTCTCCGGCATAATTTTCTTCCCAGCTTGTAGTAGAGTCGGCGGCCAACCTCCCCCAGCCGACAGCCACACAGGTCGCAGCTCAGACAGTCCTCGTGCCAGTACTGCTCTATGGCCTTTAGGAAGAACCTGTCACCGATGCTCTGCTGACACCCACCACATGTCAGCAGAGACGGTGGCATCTGGAGGACCTCATCCACAGGCTCCCTAGAGAAAAAAAAACAACTGGTTAAAAAAAATCAGATATTCCAGGGCTGCAAGAAATGATTGTCTTCTCACTCAATTACCCAAAATCAATTAGTCCATGAAGTATCAGAAAATAGTGAAAAATGCATTGCACATTTTCCTAAAGCCATCATATTGTTTGTTTTTGCCAACCAATTCGATCCTTCTGTTATTAAAGTTGCCAATTAATTTTCTGTGGATCAACTAATCGATCAACTGACTTATTGTTTCAGTGCTAAAATATTTTTTAAGTACCCAGTTATGTCTAATAGTTATTAACAGAGTTCATATTTTGAGATTGTATAAGTTACAGCTATAGGCCAGATTTCCAAAATGATCCTGCACTGACATTTGTTGATCTAATTGTCAAGATGCTCCGCTACGTTTTTAATGGTCATATTTGCATATTTGCAAGCAAATAGTATTGCTGCATATTCTATACATGAAACGTGCTTTATAAATAACATATTTTTATTTATTGATGCATTTATCTCTTTATGATCTGTCCATCTTAAGTTACTTGTGCAATTGCGATTTGATTGCTGTCCACCTGAGGGAGCCATTGGATATTGTTGAATACAGTAGAGAAGCCACAAAGCAGTAAGGCCACTCTAATAAAGAAAGGTGTCTTATACATACACACTGTGAAGCCTACAACATCATAGCCAAAACAAACTGTAAAAATGACTCACACTTGAACAGCTTACCTTCAGGTCACCTCTCTTGTTCTAGGGAACATTGAACTTTGTACTCACAAAAGCTATCTTTTCTCCCTTTTTATAACCTGCTCTTGGACATGAAGTTAAATACTATTTTTCTTGCCTCCAACAGCAGGTGACTCCTGACCTCAAGCTATCAGCCATCTGCAGTTAATATATACGTTTATCTATTTTTATCACATCTATGATGAGGAGTCTTTGGACGTGTTATTTAAATCTGAAACAGCACATTATTTCAATATACACCTCAGCTACTTACTCATTGGCCTCCAGTGTCTTCCTCTCGATAGTGGATGACATTTCTGAAATATGATGTCCAGCCTGATCCAGATTCGGCTTCACAGTCCGCAGCCCGTCCAGCTGCTACCTGTGAAGCTGGCTGCGGGCAGACTGAAGCCGAGACGCGCTGCACCTGCTCACACAACCTCCGAGACGCCGGTCACACCCGGTTTGGGCTTTTTGTGTGTTAAATTGACAGACAGTCGCGTTCAGCTGAAATGGCCGCAAGACAAGAAAAATTCGCTCTGAGCGGCTAAACGATGATGGAGGACACTGTCATCATTTCCTGAGGCAGTAACCCGAGGTGACACCTCATGTCTCTCAAGTATATTTTCGCGCGTCACGAAATCAAACCATCACCGGCCCGATCAGAAGGTCACTTGCGTGGATCTCCGTGTCCGTGCGTCCTGTTGAAGTGAGCGGGCTGCAGACGCGCTCCTCCACACGAAGCCGCGGTCACCGTTATTGTACAGCAGCATCGTGTTTAAATACGTCGAGCCCCCACAGTCTCTGCTTTCGTTTCCCTCTTCCTGCTCACGACTGTTTGACAATGGGGGGAAATGGGTCTTAAAGCGACAGCTTGACACTGCACAGTCTGCTCTGTCAGGCGTGGAGCTGGGTCGTGACTGAGAGTAATGAGTTCATTATATGCTTTGCTTCAACGAAGTGCCGATAGGACAAAGGATAAAGAGCAGCATGATATAATTAAACAGGCCTTGTGTTTTTTCGACACCTCGCCTCATTACTAAGCTACTTTCCTCAAGAAAAGGGATGTGGTGAAAAATTATTTACACTGAGTTTTTAGAACCACTTTCAAATAAGACGCCCTTCTAAAGGATTTATAAGTTGTAACTAATGATTTTATTAATGGTTAATAAAACATTCAGTGTATTATAGATCTGTTATAAGTCATTAATCGGAATTGTGTTGACAAGTTGTGAAAGATCTCTCTGGCTTGCGAGTGTAACAGTGGTGGAAAATAACTAAAAACCTTCTCATAAGTACTGAAGTAGCCCACAGGTTTGAGGTAGGCTACTTGTTCTTGAGTATTTCTAATTTATTCTGCCTTATACTTCTACATAACTACAGTTCAGGGAGAAATGTTGTACTTTGTATTCCACTACATTTATTGGTAAGTTATAGTTAGGCCTAGTTACTAGTTGTGCAAAGTCCTGATAGATTTTTACATGAGGTCACCAAATTATACAAAAAAGTACAACAAAACTTACAGGAAATATATATTTTCTTTATGTTGTTTCTTAAGACTCAGTTATGTGTACAAATTATTACAATGGCTATTCTTCATAATGAGTACTTTAACTTTTGATATAGGTGGTAAAACATGCATACTGTAACTCAAGCAAAAATTTGAATGCAGGACTTTTACTTGTAACAGAGTATTTTTAAATTGTTGTGTTGTTACTTTTACTTAAGTAAAGATCTCAGCACTTCATCGGTCATTGGAAGTCATTGTAAAGGGTCAAGTAGCATATTAAAAGTAAACTAATTATGCAGAAAGGTGCCATTATATTCGTGTTACTTATGCATGATATGTATATTATAGGATTATTATTACTGATGCCTAAGCAACATTTGATTGCTAGTTTAATAATGTGTCAATATTTTATAAACTGATGTAAAATGTATGTAAAATCACAATCTACAATATAAGTAGTAAGTTCAGGTTTGAGGTAAGTGTGTTTCCCTCTGAGATGTAGCTGAACAGATGGAGAAAGTAGAAAGTACAAAGAAAATACTTAAAGTAGAAGTAGCTCATATATGTATTTGAACATTAAAATAATAAGGTAAAATCCAGATATTATGTCAACATACAAATCAGATAAATTGGACCGTTTTCAGTATGATTCTTGTATATTTTCCCCCTTGTGTGGGATTGTATTCACCTTCTAACTTGTAAACTGGTAGTAGAGAGAAGATGACTAATGCTATGAAATATCCCAAAATAAGATCTTATGAAGGTTTTCTCTGTGAGAAAAACATTAAATGACATTTCTACGTAGCTGGTGTCCTCACACACAGCCTTTCCTTTTCAAACCAGAGCTGCTGTCAGCTCTTCTTCTTATCTGCTGCCAGCGCCTCGGGGCTGCCTGCTGGAGGGAGGGGCACAGACAGCAGTTGGACTGGGCAGGGAGATAAAGCACCGCAACTCCAGCAGCCAGAGCCAGCTCCTCAGCCAGATGCAACAGAGGAAGGATCTCAGGCAAAGTCTAAATGTAGGATGAAAGCATCCCTGGGCGAGACAGTTGTTGGACTGTGTATAGGCTCACTGGATGGATACCAAGCGGAGAAGGCCCGGGAGCGAGGTGAGCGTGGCAGTGCTGTGTGCCAGCTACACAGAAAGCAGAGCACCTTCACAGAGATAAAACACAAAATGTATGTCCTTCAAATGAAAAACACTTTCAGGACAAGATTTCCACCTAGTTTCTTTGTACAACACACAGTGTAAGGGCTAAGGTGGATTTCTCAGTCTTAATTCAATAAAATTGCCAAATTTGAACAATGATAATCCGCCTCTAACTTCCATTTGATAACTGATAAAAAACAATCACTTCAAGATCCACTCAGTAGCTGTTCTGGAGCTTTTCATCAAATCACACACTCTTCCTCATGAGAGTTTGCCCACTTTTCGTGGAAATGTGTTCAATTTTTCCTTTTTGTTTATCAGCACTTTAACAACTTATTGTCCACATTGTCTTAAAAATTCAATTGAAATTTAAAGTTCAACTTCAACAGTAGCTGTTCTGGAGCTTTCGATCGTATCACACTATCTTGCTCAGTCTCAACTTTTAAGTCAACGTGGACAAGAAGTATATGTGATCAGAAAAAATGGCAATGTGATAAATTCCATCTGCTGAGGAAGATAGTGTGATACGATCAAAACTTGAAGAATGGACCTCGTGGTGAGATTATTTTGTCAACCACTTAAGGGAAAATGTAATATATTAGTTTATTAGGGTTTGAAAGTTTTTGTCAGCTGCTGTTTCAAAGGTCAAGAATGAACTTTCAAACTTTGTTTCAAAGTAGATAAAACATTATCTGATCACATCACATACTGCATAGTCTCCAGCACTGCATGTGAGATGTATCAAACTTCTACATTATCAGCATATTCAAAATCATATTCATATTCACATTTTTATGGCTTGCACCACCACATAAATTTTTTTGATATTCATTCTAGTATAATTCTTTTTTTTTTTGTACAATCAGTCTTTGCAATAATGGACCCAACAAAGGATCTGAAGGGTTTGAAGAGTAGTATTACTGATACTACACATCAGTAATGTGTTTTCTTAACCCTTCAAAATGTCACAGTGCGCCAGTGTCAAGCTCAAGAACAAGTTTATTATAGACAAGAAGCAAGAGAAGAAAAAGTCAGTGCTGATATGACAACCAAGTCATCCACTACTTCCTGTAGATTTGACTGAGAAAGCCCAGAGGATGTGCAACTGCACGCAAAGATGAAGCTTTCCTGTGGGGTTGGTGCACACTGCATTCACTTCCTACCCCTCCATACATGATGGCACCCCACTGATGGCTTTCCAGATAGACAGGTCGACTCCAGATGGTTCAAAACGATAGGAGAACCAAGGCTTACAGCTCACCATAAAAACTCTAGCTTGCTGCTGGTTGAAAACTCTTATCTGTGTCTTTAGGCTTCCTAAATGTCACCAGAAAGGAGGCGCATTTTGCTGCAGACTTGACATTAATGTGTCAGCCCTCCTCTATGACACAAATGCTCACAAATGTGGAAGGGTTGTTGCAAGCGTGATGTCTCAATTTCAATTTTTTAAATAAAATTTGCAGATACTTAATTGTTCATATTATGTTATGGGCTACACAGGCAATCTTTTCCAGCCTTTATTCCTGCCTAGGATAGAACCTGGGGAGCAAACAGTTAAGAATGTAGACAACCTTTTGGGAAGTGGTGTCACTCATGTTCAGCTTCCTGTTTTGCCTGTTTGGTACTGAGAGCATTATGGAGTTGAAAGCTGTGTGGAATTTGAGGGAAGCCGGAAAATGAGCATTAGCATTAATCAAAAAGGAAAATCAAATTACACAGCTTTATGCTCCTTCCTCTCATCATTCACCAAATAATGCGAATATTACAGTTACAAGTTCCTCTACTAAATAGCAGGGTAGTATAGCAAGGTTGTTGTAAGATATACAACCAATAACTAATTTAAACAACATCTTGTTAAATCATTAGAAATTTCCCATTTAATAGATCCCTTAATTAGATAGTGAAACAAAGATGGTCACCACATATCATGAAGTATGAGCACAGGCTTGCAGGGCTGTTTCCTGAAATGAAAGGACTCTGGACATAATGTTGACTCTTTGATAGCACAAACTCTAGAATAGCAATAGCACAACAGACCACTTCTGGTCTAATCTGAAGTGAAGTGATAATTGTACTCTGTTTTAAAGCCGTCCTATGGAACTGTCACAGGTCTACAAAGGTAGGAACGTTTCATTGTTCACTGTTTTCACATAGGGTTAAACTGAAGAGCTGTGAGATTGATCGTGAGCTTGAAAATGTCAAGGTGTAAAGGTCAGAGGTCAGATGAGGAACCACCCTGAAAATGGCTGGTGTTCAGTGTTGTTGTTTGATTGAAACACAGCAGGCTGCGGAAATGAGTCACTTGTTGAAAGGGAGCTTCACTTACCCTCGGGATCCTCCCATAATCAGTATTATCCCTAAAAGAAAACACTTTCAGTGGAACAGTGCAATCAAAAAGCTGTGCAGCCATGTTAACTGCTTCCTGAATTTGGCAAAACAAAAGAAGGCTGGTTTCAAATTCTTTTGGACTGATCGTCAGTTTGCTCCCCTTTAGACACTGATTCATACTGTGGTCAAAGGTGAAGTAAAACCGTTGAACATGTATAAGCAGTTCCAAAGATATCTGAAAAGGTTTAATCCTCAAATTATCCAGATGCATCCAAACTGAAATCTGCCATTTATTTTAATAAATTGAAATATGATAAATTTGTTGGGTAAATTATTAAAAATGGATGGCTAGTCTACATAGTTTAGAATTAGTGGAGATTTATAAGTCGAACTCTCTTCAATCGTTTTACTTTATCAGTGTTTTGTTGTTGATCATATTGCTGAGCTTTACTGCCACCTGCTGATGTAAATTACAAAAACAATATTGAACAGCTGACAGCAGCGTTAGCATGATCTCTGGAACCAGGCTTTTTTTTTTTTTTTTTGCAAATCTGAAAGTCTCCTTTTACTGAAGTGAAATTTTTTTCTAGTATTAAAAAAGTGAAAGTGTACTACAGTTTCTCAACTTTGGAGTAAGGACAATGGAAATGCATGAAGTGCAGTTGGGTTTGTTATAAAACTGACAGATTGATATTTCTTTGATATGTTCTTAATCTGACCAATAGACTATGAAATACTGTATATCAGTATAACTATAAAATCATTTTGGAGCTATCTCCATACTTTTGAAAATACAACAAAAAATACTCGTATTTACATGATGGGACAAGTGGGACACTCTCTACATGCTGG